AGGATGTGCAGGAGCAGACACACCAGGGTATACATAAGACATTAAGGGTGGCAGAACAGATAGGAAAAGCTGTTAGTGCAGCATATGTTATTTTAGGCTTCATATATAGTGATATGGAGGGGTTTATGATAAAATTATATCAGCCAAACTTATATAACACACTAGTTAGACCTCAGCTGGAGTATTGTCTACAGTTTTGAGCACCAAACCATTGTAATAATATTGATGCATTGTAGATCATGCAGATGAGGTTTGCGAGAATGTTCCAGGGATAAGACACTTCACTTATGAGGAAAGATTGGACAGTTTGGAACAGTTTTCCTAGGAGAGTAGAAAGTTAAGAAGAGACTTGATAGGTGCTTTCAATATTCTGATGTGGCAAAAATAAACTTTCTTACACAGCAAGTAGTTAGAGTCCAGAATGCACTACCTGGAAATGTGATGAAGGCAGGTCCAATTGAAGCATTCCTGAGATACTGAGATGATTATTTAATTGAAACAGTGTTCAGATTTATGGGGAAATGGCAGAAGATTGGAACCAAGTTTAAACACTCAGAGAGCTAGTGCAGACATGATGGGCTGAATAATCTCCTGGACTGTAACATTTCCGTGATTCCATATAGCCCCTGTGGAAAACTCACCTTGACATAAATGCTTTATATTGCATCTGAAGGAACAGGTCTAGAATTCAACATGTTGCTAAATTACCAGCTGCTCATTTTGGCAGAGGCTATGAGAGGCATGGATTTTTGAGGCTTACTACATCATCAAAATAAATAATCTATTTTGGTGTCATGCATGGAGGGATAAATCTGTCTGTGCCCAAAGTGGGAATACTGGAGGCTTGGTTGGTGGCAGTCACCCCTCAATCAAAATATTCTAGGTTCAAATGTCAACCCCGGATTTGAGCATAAAAATCACACTCCATTACAATACTGTTGGAGATTATATGAGATGTTGAATCCAAGATTCTTTCTGGTGGAAAAAATCCCAAGGCACTATTTTGGAGAGAAAGAGGAGGTCCTGAACACATTTTACCCTTAAGTAAACATCATAATTTTATGGTAGATTGACTACATTTCAATAGCATTTCATTGTCATCAAAACACAATGGAACGTTTGTTTGTCCTGAAGCAGGTGCCAAGTAAATGCAACTCTTTCACTTTTTATTACCTACATCTCAATGGTTAGGCTCAAGGCCTCATTATAATTGAAGGTAAAGCCTTAAGGGGACCATGGGAGGGATACATGGAGAAACGGCTGGAGCGAAAAGTGAGTGTGATCAAGAGGACAGAGGTGACAATCAAGAATGAAATAGTGGTGGCAAGCAGTGAATAGCTGTAAACCGTGATTTGAAAGCGGAGCGGGATGGGGTGGCAATGGCCTAGTGGTATTACCACTGGACTGTTAATTCAGAGACCCAGATAACGTTCTGGGGACCTGGATTTGAATGCTACCATGGCAGATGGTAGAATTTGAATTCAATTTAAAAAAAATTAAGAGTCTAATGATGACTATGAATCTACTGTCAATTGTTGGGGAAAACTCATCTGGTTCACTAATGTTCTTTAGGGACGAAACTGCCATCCTTAACCTGGTCTGATTCCAGGCCAACAGCAATGTGGTCAACACTTAACTGGGCAAGATGGGCAATAAACCCTGGCCTAGTCAGTGACGCCTTCATCCTGTGAATGAATAAAAAAGGAGAACTGCTGCAACTCCCAGTTCCACATTTTTGACAATTGTATCTATTTGGTGTACTCTCTGAATGCTTAGTGCTATTGGCAATGGCATGGTGCAAAAAGATCTTTCCCCAAATGTATTTTTTTGAACAGACCCTCATCCAGAGAAAACTAATATAGCAGAGGTGTTAGGCTCCCTTATTTGTATATGGAAGAAAAAGAAACCTAATGCTTATTTCAAGCATGGATTCTGGCACCTATCTGTATCTGTAATTTGGGCACGTAAAGCAAATAGGATAGAGGTAATGTATGGGGCATGGAATGATGATTCATTAATAGGCAGAAAACAGATTTGGAATAATGAGTCATTATTGCATAGGCTGCGATGAATAAAAGCTGTAATGTGGTCAAGTGTGAATGTCCTGGCGGAACCTAAACTGAGTTTCAAGTGAGTAGGTTGTTGCTGAGCTACTGCTGCTTGATGGTACTGTTGATGATGTCTTCCATCATTTTACTGATAAAGTAAGCTGATGGGGCAGTAATTGGCTCTATTCAATTTGTCCTATGTTTGTGTGCAGGATCAACCTGGGCAATTTCCACATTAGAATGATGCCAGATTAGGTAGATGCTAGTGTCGCTGCTGTCCTAGAACAGCTTGCTTTGGAGAGTGGCAAGTTGTGGAGCATGCATCTTCAGTACAATTGCCAGAAAGTTGCCAGGACCCAGAACTTTTACAGTGCCTAGTGCATCCAGCCATTTCTTGATATCATGTGGAGTGAGTCGAATTTGCTGAAGACAGGTATCAGTGACGCTGCCGATTTCTGGAGGAGGCTGAGATGGATCATGCACTCGGCACTTTTGGCTGATGATTGCACTGATGTACTGGGCACCCTTCACCTCACCTCACCTCAGTTACTGTGGTTATGGACTTTTGTGGAGCCACCTCAGCCAGTGAGTCATTTAATTATCCACCACCATTCATAACTGGATGTGGCAGGACTGCAAAGCTTAGATATGATCTCTTGGTTATGTCACTGCTTGACTCTGTCTGTTGCTTGCTGTTCATGCTGCTTGGCATGCAAGCAATACTGTATTCCAGTCTCACCAATTTTGCACTTTATATTCAGGTATGCCTGGTGCTGATCCTGACATGCTCTCCTGCACTCATTACTGGACCAATACTCTCCCATGGTGTGATGGTGATGGTAGATTGGGAGATATGCCAGGCCAGGGAGTTGCAGACTGTCCTTGCCCGCCTCAGTGCTTCTTCCGAGTGTTGTTCAAAATAGAGGAGTACTAATTCATAAGCCAAGGTGGGCCTGGGGTGGTACATGGTAATTAGCAGTCTGCTGCCTTTCCCAGGTTTGTCCTGACACTTTACAGTGTCCAGAGTCAATGTTGAGGGTAATACATAAACAAGGGGCTAGAAGAACACAGCAGACCAGGCAGCATCTGGAGGAAAGGAGCAGTCAATGTTTCGGGTATTACCCTTCTTCAGGACTGAAGACCTTGTCCACCTTGAATTCCAGCATCTGCAGTTTTTTTGTCTCTACTTGAGGATACTACATGCCTAAATTTATTCCACTACACTGCCACCTCAGCTGAGTCTGTTTCCCTTGGCTCGGGAGTCCAGAACTAGGCAACACAATTTCAAGATAAGGGAGAAGCCACTCAGGACCAAAATGAGGAAGTCTTTTTTCACTCAAAGGATTGTGAATTTTTGCAATTCTTCAACATTGAGGGTTGTCAAAACTCAGTCACTGAGTATACATTTTTAAAAATTCATTCACAGGATATGGGCATCACTGCCTATATCCACATTTATTGTCCATCTCCAATTGCCCAGAGGGCAGTTAAGGGTCAACCACATTGCTGTGGGTCTGGAATCATATATAGGGCAAACCAGCTAAGGACAACCATTTTTTACTCCTGATAATCGACAACGCTTTAATGGTCATTATTAGACTTATTTCCAGATTTTTATTGAAGTAAAATGCCAGCACCTGCCCTGGCAGCCTTCAAACCCAGGTCCCTAGAACTTTGCCTAGGTTTCTGGATTAATAGTCTAGCAATAACACCACTAGGCTATCACCACCCCAGAGAGATTGACAGATTTCAAAATAGTAATGATATAAAGCTGTATGAAGATCATGTGGGGAAAAACATTGAAGTGAATAATCAGCCATGATCATGTTGAATAGGAGTGCAGGCTTGATGGGCTGAATGGCCTACTGCTCTTATGTTCCTTTTTTGGTCCACACCAACATGGCAAATGCTACAGTCCCATATTGTATTTAATAACTCTTCCTACTCGACATGTTGAAGCATTAGGGATATGTCTAACATCTGAAAATCATGGGTGGTGCCTGCAAATTTCTGTGAATATGTTGTCAGATGACAATTAGTTTGGTCACAATGAAAGTGAAATAATTTCCATTTTGGGTTTTGAGTAGCAATTCATTATAAACATGAGCTTTAAAAAAAATTGTTTGGTACTTCAGGCAATTGTGATGATAACAAAATTATATCTGGTTCTGTTTATTAAGAAAATATCCATCAGCACGCTGTTGATTTGCAATTCTTATTACTAGTTATCATAAGGAATTATGACAATGATATATTAATCTCTTATGCTACGAGAGACAGGGGAGGCAATGGCCTAGTGGCATTATTGCTGGACTGTTAATCCAGAGACCCAGGCAATGTTCTGGGGACCTAGTTTCAATCTATTTTTTTAAAAAGAATCTGGAATTAAGAGTCTAATGATAACTGTGGATCCATTGTTGACTGTTGGAAAAAAAATCATCTGGTTCACTAACGTCCTTTAGGAAGAAAACTGCCATCCTTACTTGGTCTGGCCTACATGCGACTCCAGACCCATAGCAATGCAGTTAACTCTTAACTGCCTTCTGGGCAATTAGGGATGGGCAATAAATGCTAGCCTGATAGCGATGCCCTCATCGTGTTAATGAATATAAAAATCAGGAAACCAACATGCACTGCTGCAGTTAAATCTATTTGTTTCATTATTTATATGATTTAATGAGATAGAAAGTCTACAGATGAATAATCAAAAAACCATTGTCCACATTTTGAGGAAGAACAATCAGACATCACCTTTTGTATGGAATATTAATATTCCACACAAATATCTCTTGTATTATAGGTTTTCACATAAATTGTGTCATCACATCAAGCATCTGGCAAATAATTGCAAAGAATTTGCCAAACCCATTCAGTAATGGTATGTTCACACAAGTATTTGCTTCCTTTGTGTTCTACTATAGTATTAAAATTCAAAACAAATTAAGAAATTACCATTTTCATTTCCTAGGCTCTGATCGTTCACTGGCCGTAGACTCTGAAACGAGCCCTGCCCCAAGATCCAATCAAAGTTGTCTGCCAAGGAGTTTTTCCAACCACATGGTCCAGTTTCAAAGGTGCAGGATGTTCCACATTCTCTCTCATCTGTATTGTCACTGCAGTCATTTACAAAATCACATCTCTGTTCTGGTCGGTAACAATTTCCATTCTGGCACTCCAAATAACCTTGTCGACAAAGTCCTGCAAATAAAGAAGGAATTTCTATGAGTAAGTTTAAACAGCTAATGAAAGAATCACTAAAGTGTCACTTGTAGTTAACAGATATTGGTCTGCATGGCTTTCAGTAGTGGCTACTTCTATTAGTACATTTATTACCACCTTAAGAGTTACTTATTCCATTTAAAGCTTTCAACAGAAAGGCATCTCCAAGGGAGATTCATGTTTGTTATATTTTCTTTAAAACTTCTTAGCTCAGTACATTCTTCATTGTGATGACTTACCAAGCATAGCAAATGAAATAGGATTTAACAAAGAATTATTTGAAACTGCCAACTCAACGATTTAAGTTTGTTCTGAAATGTTATAATGACCCATTTCTATTAAACAATTTTGGCTAATTATTTTTGATTTTACTTAAGTTAAAGAGAGAGCAAATACAGGAAATTCTGCTTGCTACCCACAAATTTGCAATATAATCAAACAGTCCTCTATTGGATCCTCCCCGCTCTCCTGCAACAGTGAGTTTGGATGAGCTGAATATTTCATATCAAATTTCTGGTACTTCACCAATGTCATTGATTTTTGTCAGCAGTACGCATTGTTAGGCAATTTGATTATGGTGTAAAAAGAGCTGAACTTGATCCAGTCCACAGCTTTTGCCAACAGATTCCAGGAGGCATTAATCTTCATTGAGCAAGTCTGGGGCCCTTAATTAATTTTAAAGGTTTTCAGCCACGGGACACAAAGGCTAATCATAGCGTCTCAACAGTCACACCAGCTGAAGTCAACTAACTGAACACATATCATATCTCCAACTATTGGAACATCCCTCATCTGTGTGTTAACAGTGTCATATACATATTCACAAATGTTAATTTCTATTTGAATATTGTTGAATAGAGAGGTTTTGTGTCTTGGACTCATCAGGGGAAACATAAAGACGCCACATGTCAAAAGAACAACTATTCCCAATTCCTTCGCCTCCACCGCATCTGCTCCCGAGGTGAGGCATTCCACTCCCGAACATCCCAGATGTCCTCGTTTTTCAAGAACCGCAACTTCCCCTCCACAGTGGTCGAAAACACCTTCGAACGTGTCTCTCGCATTTCCCGCAACTCATCCCTCACACCCCCTCCCTGCAATAATAACCAAAACAGAATCCCCCTCATCCTCACATACAACCCCACCAACCTCCGGATCCAACGCATCATCCTCCGACACTTCTGCCATCTGCAATCTGACCCCACTACTAAAGACATTTTTCCCTCCCCACCTTTATCTGCTTTCCGGAGGGACCACTCTCTCCGTGACTCCATTGTCTGCTCCACACTCCCCACCAGCCCCACCACCCCCGGCGCTTTTCCCTGCAACCGCAGGAAGTGCTACACCTGCCTATACACCTCCTCCCTCACCCCCATCCCAGGCCCCAAGAAGACCTTCCACATCAAGCAGATGTTCACCTGCATATCTGCTAATGTAGTATACTGTATCTGCTGTTCCTGTTGTGGCCTCCTCTACATCGGGGAAACCAAGCGGAGGCTTGGAGACCGCTTTGCAGAACACCTACGCTCGGTTCGCAATAAACAACTGCACCTCCCAGTCACGAACCATTTCAACTCCCCCCTCCCATTCCTCAGACGACATGTCCATCCTGGGCCTCCTGCAGTGCCACAACGATGTCACCCAAAGGCTGCAGGAACAGCACCTCATATTTCGCTTGGGAACCCTGCAGCCCAATGGTATCAATGTGGGCTTCACAAGCTTCAAAATCTCCCCTTCCCCGACCAAATCCCAAAACCAGCCCAGCTTGTCCCCGCCTCCCTAACCTGTCCTTCCTCCCACCTATCCACTCCTCCCACCTCAAGCCCCACCCCCACCTCCTACCTACCAGCCTCATCCCGCCTCCTTGACCTGTCATCTTCCCTGGACCGACCTATCCCCTCCCTAACTCCCCACCTACACTCACCTTTACTGGCTCCAACCCCGCCTCTTTGACCTGTCTGTCTCCTCTCCACCTATCTTCTCCTCTATCCATCTTCCATCTGCCTCCCCCCTCTCTCTATTTATTTCAGAATCCCCTTCCCCTCCCCCATTTCTGAAGAAGGGTCCAGACCCAAAACGTCAGCTTTCCTGCTCCTCTGATGCTGCTCGGCCTGCTGTGTTCATCCAGCTCTACACCTTGTTGTCTTACAACAATTTATATTGCAGGAGAAAAGAGTACTGTTTGAATGGTTAGTTCTAGCATGAGGTTTTCTGATAACAGTTCTTGTCCCCTATCTATAGTAGAGAAGATAGTTTTCCATGTTAATTTAAGTGCATTTTAAAAATAAAAATACATTTAATTTAATATTCTGGAATATTGCAATATTGTGACTTGCAAAAGTATATCAAGTACAACAGGTCACTCAATAGTCTCATTTTCCCAATTGCCTCGCTAGTTGTAGTGTACAATGCCCTAACGCATTGTAAATAGGAGATAAAAATTAAAAAAAGTCTTCTATTTTCTGCACACATTTAAATAAATATGTAATGGTATCTACTTTTCCAATTCTATATTTCCATTTATTAAAGAGATTATGCTGAAAGCAATGATCTAAATTCAGTTATAATTTGTGAAAAAAATAGATTTAGCAATTTTAGCTGCAATTGGAAATTCCACTCATGACACCAGCCACCAAATTTACAAACGTAGAGACAATCAGGTTTGTGCATTTTCCATTAGTTATATGAATAAGTATCAAAATTGCTTTTCGATATGATTTTCTGATATCCCCACAAACCAATTCTCAAGCATTAAGTGTGATCTACAAGCTTCTGTAAAAATGTCAATCTTCCTAATCCTTTAAAGAATGTCATTTTTATAACAATGATTCATTCCACTTTCACTTTGATTCTGTTACCAATGGTGTGTCATTGGCATTATTAGAATATGCAACTCCTCTATAGTAATTGAAGGCATATTAGTTGTCCTTTAAGATTTACAACAATTTTTGTCGTTTCTATATTTCTTTCTAGCTGATACTACAACTGAACAAGAGAAAGTTGCGCATCTGACCAGAAGTGCCTTCATACTGTGTCCTAAAACTATCAACTGGCTTTGGAAGATTAAAATGCTGCTGTTAAGTGGCCTATGGCATGTTTCACTCTTTGAACTGATTGCTCTTCTCAGTCGCAGACTTTTCATAGCTTATTCATGAAAGCGTCTGTCTTATCAGATCAGACTCATGATCTTACATGGTCATTGCCAATCTTAATCAGGCACTTCACAAACATAAAGAACTGAATATTGTCCTCCTGTGTTGTTACCATTCTATGTTGCTAGTCTACGATCCAGTAAGACTTTTATTGTTCCTCTAAATCATTTTGATCTAGGCTTATAAATCATCTAGAGCCGAATAAAAGTATGCATCATTCACCTCATGTCAATATTTATTCACCATTCATCTTAGAATGTTTTATAAAGTATAAGACAAGCCTCAACACACCCAAGATAAACACTGTTGGGCTGAATTTTCCCAAAATTTGGCCAAGTGTCAAATTTGGGGGAGTTTCATTGAGGGTTTCTCTCCATGAGCTCAAATAAGTTTTCTTGTGCAATTTTACAACATTCACATTATCAATTAAGCACCATGCCTCCACAATGCCAAATTAATGACACATTTTGCTTACCAGTGGTGAATGTGCTTGCTGCTGCCATAATCTTCTGAGTACCTTTATGTATGGGAAATTGTGTCTCACTAACTTGATTGTGTTTTTTGAAGAGGTGACAAAGAAGACTGATGAAGGAAGAGTGGTAGACATTGTCTTTTTGGAATTCAGTAAGGTGTTGGACAAGGTTCCACATGGTAGGCTGGTTAGTAAGGTTAGCTACATGGAATGCAAGGGGAGCAAGCCATTTGGATACAAAATTGGCTTGAAGGTAGGAGACAGAGGGTGATGGTAGAGGATTATTTTTCAGACTAGACCAGCGGTGTGCTACAAGGATCGGTTCTAGATCTACTTTTTTGTCATTCATATAGATGATTTGGATGTGAATATAGGAGGTATGGTTAGTAAATTTGCAGATGACACCACGACTAGGGATGTAGTAGACAATGAAAAAGTCGCTTAAAACTGGAGTCACAGGTGAACAAGGAGGTGAAGAAAGTGTGGCATGATTGTCGATATTGGTCAATGCATTGATATAGGATTTGGAACATCACTATGCATCTGTACAGGACATTGGTGAGGCTACTTTTAGAATACTGTATTCAGTTCTTGTCTCCCTGCTATAGGAAGGATTTTGTTAAACTTGAAAGCATTCAGAAAAGATTTACAAGGATGTTGCCAGGATTAAAAGATTTGAGCTATAGTGAGAAGATGAATAGGCTGGGGCTATTATCCCTCGAGCGTTGGAGGCTGAGAAGTGACCTTATTAAGATTTATAAATCATGAGGAGCATGGATAGGTTGAATAGCTGAGGTCTTTTTCCCAGAATGGGGGAGTCCAAAACTAGAGGACATAGGTTTAAGGCTTGAGGGAAAAGATTTAAAAGGGATCTGAGGGACAACTTATTCATGCAGAGGTTGGTGCATGTATGGAACGATCTATCAGGGGAAGTGGTAGATGCAGGTACAGTTACAATATTTAAAGGACCTTAGAACAGGTACACGAATAAGAAAGGTTTCGAGGGATATAGGCCTAATGCAGGCAAGTGGGATTAATTTATTTTAGGAAAATGGCCAGCATGGATGAATTGGACTGGAGAATCTGTTTCTGTGCTGTATGACTCTCTGACTTGCCTTTATCCACTCCTCCAAAGAACTCCAATAAATTGGTAAAATATACTTTCCCTTTCACAAAACCATGCTGAATCTTCCTGATTACCCTGAGTTTTCTATAGCCCAGCTGTAGCCTCCTTAATAATGGATTCTAACGCTTTCCCCACACTGGTGTCAAGCAATTAGCCTATAATTTCCTGTTTTCTGCCTGCCTCCCTTTTTGAATAGTGAAGTTACATTTGTGATTTTCTTTTCTGTTGCACCTTTTAAGATCCAGCTGTCAGCCGATGAAGTGGTGTGATCCAAAAAGGTTAGGAAAGGGAAAGTAAAGGTACACTTTCATCTCCCCACTTCACTGATCTCCCACACTACCAAACTTCCCAAGCATTCCACTCTGTGTTGACTGAGTTCTGCCAGCCCTGTATTTATACTGCTTGTGATTTAGATAAGTCTGTTCTGCTTTTGTACAAGAACCAGTCCTAGCTATTTAATTAACTAACTACATCTTCATTCAGAGAAGGAAATCTGCCAACCTTAGATAACAAGGTGTAGAGCTGGATGAACACAGCAGGCCAAGCAGCAGGAAGGCTGATGTTTCTTCAGAATTGGTTTGACCTATCTATGACTCCAGTCAATGTGACTGATTATTAACTGTCCTCTGAAATCACCTCACAGGCACTCACTTCAATGCCAGTTAGGGAAGGGCAATATATGCTGTTCTGGCCAGCACCACCCACTTCCTGTGAATGAATAAACTACAACTTCGCTCAGTCACTAGAATCATCACAGAATCCCTCCAGTGTGGAAGCAGGCCATTCGGTCCATCAAGTCCACACCAACTCTCCAAAGACCATCCCACCTAGACCCACCCTCCCCTATCCTATCCCTGTAACGCTGCATTTTCTATGGGTAACCTACACAACCTGCACATCCCTGAATACTATGGGCAATTTAGCATGGCCAGTCCACCTAACCTGCATATCTTTAGACTGTGGGAGGAAACCGGAGCACCCGGAGGAAACCCACACAGACACGGGGAGAACATGCAAACTCCACACAGACAGTTGCTTGAGGGTGGAATCGAACCTAGTGGTGCTGTGAGGCAGCAGTGCTAACCAGTGAGCCATTGTGCCGCCCCTCAATCAAGAATTTCCTTGTTTAAGCCACAAAGAAAGGTAACTTTAACATATAACTTAGTGAGAACATCTTACTTAAATATCAAGAACACTAACATTCATATTTAGTGAGAAATTTAAAAAAAAAGATTACTCATTAAAACTTCCAAAATTCTAGCCTTCTAGGCTTCTAGCCTTTCACTCTGTGGCAGCTACGCTCAAAGTTTTAAAGACTTGCACTAAATAATGTGGAAATCTGGTTAAAAGGTGT